AAATTAGGCCAAGTAAACTGGCTTAAAAGAACAGAAACAGAGCTTGTCAATTCAGATGCTTGCACTCGACACAACATTTGACCGAGCACTAGGGACATCATGATGATGAAGTACATCTCCGACGTGTCGGTACAGGAAGGCAACGGAATTATGTTCAATAAAAATACCTGCAGGGATTTGTAACTAACTTTTAGGTATTCGTAGCTTTTACACACTTATTGGACTGACTGGCTGAATAATGGAGGTCAGATCTTTGCTAGCCATCGATGTAACCCCACCAAACTGCATTATCGTGGGCTATCTTGTTAGCTCGGTCGGTTCCGGCTATTTGAAAAACCTGAAAACACAAGGATATTTCTTTGGTAAACTGTAGCTAGGATGAGATTTTTTTCGACTAGAGATTATTAACCTAAACATATTTGTTTTTCATTTAAAATGTCTCCTCCAAACAACTCAGGTTGTCGGACTGAAAGTGACCGGCACTGAACCCCCCCCCCTCCCCCACCCCGATCCATAACCGCCTTTACTCCCACAGCAGCATCCACAAAATGAAGGCGCCTGTGGAAGGAGCCCATCTTTGCAAGTTATACTTCTCTCAAATAAAGTGTATTACATGTACAATTTCCTACTAACAAGCTGCTTTGCGTAACAGTGGAAAAAATTACTAGGAGAGAACACAGAGAACTCTTTAATTCACTTTGAATCACGTCCGTTTCGCTCAGGTCCGTCCAAGTCACGAACATCAAATGTGCACCCACTCTTTTTGGGGGAGCTTGTGGGTTACCGGGCCCCGTGGAGCAAGCCATGCCGCCCACCAGTGAGGTGATCAGGTGCACACGAAGTCCTGCTGCACGAGAGGATGCAGACAGGACGGAAAGGAAAAGAACAGGGGGCGGAGTTCTCAGAGCTGAGGCTGACCCAAAACAGACCCGACGGGAGAAGCGTGACCGGCCCCAGGCCGTCCCCACAGAGCCCAAAGTCCATAGTGCCACAAAGACAGACTGAACAGAGATCTAGGAGAGGTCGCTGGTTAATTATTACCAGCCAGTTTTATTTCGACAGGAGTCGTGATTACAAGCAGTATGGAAATTAAGCAAAGACATTCACCCTCTCGTGTGTGATTTAATATGCAAAACAAATCAAGCGTGAGTCACACCAAAGTAGGGACGCGATCTTACTTCCACTCCTCTGGTGGGTGTGCAAGTTCATACTTCTCCCTCACATTGGAGACACCCATATCCAAATGGAGCCAGTGAACCTCCTCTGACCGCAGGTGACTGAGACGAAATCCATAGCAGGCCACGTGCTTTACTTTGTGACTGTCCACTATCTTCTGAATGATGCCCTAAAACATACCCCCCACAAAAACGACTGTTATAAACAAAAAAAAAACTGTAGGCTAAAAATTAATGCAATGTTCATTTGTTTTAGTTAGTTACCAGAAATCTTTGGTAAAAGAGTATCAAGTTAAATAAGTCATTTAATTTTTCTTAGGAATCTTGTTTCTCAAATAGTATTTTTATGAACAAGGAAAGTTTTGAAAAATCACAAAAAGAGACTCTTCCGTTTTCTTCAGTGATAAACAAGGCATGGAAACTTAAAATACATTTCTGCAGCTCTAGTTCTGCTCGGGGGGGGGGGGGGGGCGCAAACCTGACAATGTGTCCCACCCACCCTCTGGGTGTGACTGCTGATAACTAGGCCCGAGGACGGGTTCCACTTTCTGAGCCCAGGACGGCATACTGCTCTAGACCAGATGCAACCTAATGTCATTTCTTAAGAAACACATTTAAGGACATATGACGAAGGCCACATTTCTGACAATACCGATGATATCTGTGAAGTTATTCAAAATTGGGCCTACCCGATCTGCTACCGACCTCTCAAAGAGCCGCTGAAACCTAACACTCCATGACTTCAGACAGGAAGGCTGCCCAAAGATGAAGCTTATCCTAAACTAGGGAAAGGGAGGGGGCAGCCCGAGTCTTGCCCTGTACCCGCACAGTGTGGAAGTCCACGTGTACACGTTTGAACATGGACGGCACGCGTGGGAACGTAACAAGAGGCCATGTGCTGCCCCCACACGAGGGTGTGCTAATCACAGCCCACTGCGATCCTCTCAGTGCTCCAGGCCACTCACAGTTAATGTTGAATGATGCCGACATTAACGTGAAAATCACTGGTCGAGAAAATCAGCATGGTTTTTAAAGATTAGCAATTAACGGAAGGTATCACACTACTTACAACATGAGACACATCTTCAAAGTTCCTACACACGCTAAGCGTTTCTATATTAAAGCATGATGCTGTTGACAATACAAATAAGGATGTTCCTATCCCTACTCACGAGAAGACAAAATGAACACACACTATATGCAAAACCCATCAAGGACGCAGTGCGTCCACACCAAAGGCAACAGGTGGCACCTGTCCGTGGCCAGGCTCCCGGGAGAAGGTTGTGTATCAGGCACGGGAGAATGGTAGGGAGGAGGAAACGTGTCATCGGGGAGAAAGCATGCACAGAGGCCTGGGCTGGAGGTCGCTCCATAAAGAAGACACACTCTCTGGGGACAGGAAGACCGCGTGCAGCCTAAAGAACTCTGGACAAAACTGCAAGAGGCAAAAATGTCCTTCCTGGCTTTCGGATTCAAGGCCTGGAGTTTGTGATGGGGCCACCGTGAAGGACGCTGCCGCCTGTGCTGCCAGGGGTGCCCAGCCGAGGGGGCAGCAGGAGCCGAAATCCAGCCGGCCCTCTGGTCGGCACATCTTGCGCTCAGGGTGGGACATCGGCTTCCAGCAGTTCTCTCAGAGGCAACTTCTTCAGCTTCCCCTTGCCGACACACGAGTCCCTGCTGCACAGGACGGGAGCTGGCGCCTCTTTCAAATTCCCACAAAGGCGCTTTGTGTCCCGGTCCCGGCTCTGCCCATTTGCTACCAAGGGCACAGCGACACCAGCTGCCCTCTCTAAGGCTCAGGTTTAGCACGTCCTCTCGTCAGTCCGCGGCAGCTCGCTGCTACCAGATTCCAGAGCTACTGCTCTCCTGTTAGGGCCCTGGTTCAGGTTCCTCTCTGTTCCCAACCATCTGTCTCGGCAGGTCTATCCTTCCCCTCCAGACACACGCCGGTTCCTACCGCTGTTTGTGCCATCAACCCTAGGGAGAGATCCCGCCCTCCCTGGGCGCCTTCCCTGACGAGCCCCAGCAAAGGTTACCCTGGCGACCTATCAGGAAACCGGGCACACGGGCATCCACCTGCAGGGAGGCCAGCGTGGACACACCTAGTCCAGAAGTGTGGAGCCCAGGGCACAAGCCGGCTCCCAATCTGGAGTTTTACGGGACAGACGCAATTTCAGCCCATTCACTCGATCACACTACCTGAAGACACCCAGAATGACTTCCGGTTTGCTTCTGTGTAACGAAGAGCTCCCATCCCGTAGGACCTCCACCCTAAACAAGTTGTAGCCTTCACTTTCCACTAAGAAAATTAAAAGCAATAAACACACAGACACTTCTATTTCATGTTTTGCTTTTTTATTATGCTCCCATATTGTGTTCTATCCTATTTCTCTAGAACTCCTGTAAATCTCATCGCGGACTCAGTCTGAATGTCAGCCAAGGTTAGGAATATAAAAGGACTTACACATTTGATGCTCAGTACCTACACTCAGTAACTTAGATAATTTTGAGAACCAAACATCTGGTTCTGGATAACTGAAAAACAACTTTTAGAACTAAGCATTTAGTAACGAATGCACACTCAGAAAAACCTACCCTGCTACCATATGGAAATGTATGCATATATTATTTCTGGAAAACATGTATTTAGAAAAGTGACTGTCTCAAGGGAGATAACAGGACAAGGATTTGTAATATACCCCTAACGGCAGCTGAATTAAATTTAAATTTCTCATCCTGACTTTGATGTCCCATGACAATCCTATCCACACTTCACTACTTTGAAAAGGCCGTTTGCTCATCGGTATCCTATCCCAGAACTTGGAAATACGTAACGTTCCTGATTAATTCTCACATTAGATATTCACAGGAAAAGAATTCTTCTTAAGGATGAAAATAAAAGAAGCCAGTGTCTGTACTGTGCTTCTATCTTATCAGAAACATACAGCACTCAGCAGACAGAGCCATTCTACTACTGGTGGGTAGTTCTTGTGGGTTCCCCAGCTCTGGGGGGTCAGGGGGAGTGGACATGCAAACAATATTGCTGTGAACGTGCTTGAAGCTGGCATCACACACGTGCAAAACAACACCCAGAAACAGACGCCCTGGGTCAAAAGCTACGTAACGTGTGACATCTGGTAAGTACGGACAAACTGTCAACCAGTGAAACTATATCAATTATACTTGGCACATAACATTAGAGACTGTCCTTCACCTCATGCCGATGCTGGATGAAATCAATCTTGAATGTTTATCAGTGTGATGGACCACAAAAGGTGGGGGACATTTCACTGCTGTCCTTGATTACACACTAGTGAGATGAGTCTGTGGTTTCATTTCTAAAAGTTCTTTTTACGATTTTGCCGGGTTCAACCTGGTCACCTACCTATCTTTTGGACAGTGTTCTGGAAAGAAGCAATGACCTTTCCACTGGTTGAAAGAAGTCCTGCAGACCTTCCTTCATGTTCATTCACTCATGAATGTTCGTTCCCTCCCTGGATCAGTGAGCATGTGTGCACCTAGTCCGCATGGCAGCAGCACTACAATGATGGATACGACAGAACCCTTGCCTCCAAAGCCGTAGTCTAGGAGGGAGGTGCTGGACACATGCATGAGAGTGGCCTGTCCAGTGTGCGGGGAACTGGCTACATGTCTAGCTGTCTCCCCACTGTCATTTGCAAGACCTCTATCACAAGAGGAGAGATCTAAAGCCACACACACTGTTCTTACCAGCGCACTTCACTTCCTGCCAGGAGTCACCAAGTGCAATCATCACTGCTGATTTGTTTGTTACAATGCGGTTATTTTTCTGTGTCTCTCTTTCAGATGCTCTTTACCTCAAGGAAACCAACTGTTCTCTGTGCTCTGTCCTCTGATCCCACCTGCACGGGAGGAGCCTCACTGTCATTCAGTTACCTCAAACAAGGTGCGGGGATCCGAATCCTGCTCTCCAACAGCACTACCTTCCTCCTGTTGGTTCAGCGCTCACCCAGAAGTCGGCCCCAAAGTCCCCCGAGACAAAGCACACCTGTGTCCATCTACTCCCTACTACGGCCATAACAACCACCACAAACTTCCGAGCTTAAGATAGCACAAATGCTAGCTTCTCAGTTCTGTAAAATCCTAAGTCCGAAATGGGAATCCCTGGGCTAAAATCAAGGTGTCAGCAGGGATGCACTGCTTTCTGGAAGCTCCAGGCTGGCCTTGTTCAGCTGCTAGAGGCCCCTCCGTGCATGTTCAAAGCCAGCAGGGTTGCGTCCGACCCTTTTACTGCAGCCCCCTCCCTCTGACCACAGCCAAAAAAAGGTCTGCAGCTCATCATCTCCCCATCTCAAGGTCCTTAGTGTGGGTCACATCTTCCAAGTCCATTCTGCCAAGGAAGGTCCCATATGCCCAGGTTCTGGGGATTAGGACATGGATACCTTTTGGGGCTATTATTCTGACCACCACAATCACCATCTCTAAGGTTCCGTGACAGAGAATTCTTTCTCGTGCTCTTGCCGTCTCATACTCTTCTTTACGTTGCTTCTGACTCTGTTTCTTTCTTATGGTTTTTTTTTTTCCAGTTTCTTCCTAGATGAGACTATTCCATTAAAGAAATGTTCACGTTTTAAATACATATTCACCTGATCCTCTGTCAGAGAAAGCTGACATTTGAGACACACACGAAGCATCAGTGACGACACTTGACAATAAACACTGGAGACCACAGGACTACTGCACGCAGAGCCCTTCCGACAACCATCTGTGGCTGAGCTCAGGGAAGACGGCCTACAGGGCACCTTCCCCACAGCCGCTGGCGTTCTGAGCACAGCGCAGTGGCTCACAGAGCTCGTAACTGCTGCCAACTCACAGAATCCCAAACTGTCCCTGTGCTTTCCACTCCGATCAGAAAGCTGATTTTAAATTGATCAGAATGGGGGCGCCTGGGTGGCTCAGTCGGTTGAGCGTCCAACTTCGGCTCAGGTCACGATCTCGCGGTTCGTGGGTTCAAGCCCCGCATCGGGCTCTGTGCCGATGGCTCGGAACCTAGAGCCTGCTTCGGATTCTGTGTCTCCCTCTCTCTCTGCCCCTCCCCCACTCAGGCTCTGTCTCTCTCTTTCTCTCTCTCAAAAGTAAATAAACGTTAAAAAAAATTGATCAGAATATTTCTTTCTACCGTTATTCTTCCCACTACCAGTGTGGTTACAATAATTAGTCCTACTCCAACCAAGGATATTCCGCATTTAGCAAAGTACAGGACTGAGTTTATTGCGTTTGTTTACTCTTGCAGATTCAGGTAACTGAGTGGCTCAGGACGAGTACTGGGACCTCAGAGTGTGCTAGGTAGCTAGAAAAGTGCACCGAGCCCTTTAGTAAACTTTAAGACACTCTGCACATAACAACAATATTGTCCAACAACTCAGCCGCTACTTAATCTGTACTTGTCTAGATTTGGTGTCTGGGTACAAAATGCATTGTTGCAGGCCCTGTGATTTAAAGAAAATAGTAATAAGGTAGGAATGAAGATTTGCTAGAAGTATCAGTAAGGCTAGGTATGGTTTTGGATGGGTGTAATCTCTCAGTTTCTTTCACGGTTATTAGTCCACTACTTTCTACTCCTGCCACCAGTTTTCCTAACTTTATTTCTGTCAGAAGTACTCCATTTCACCTAGGATTTCATGTAGTCATTCAAAAGGGAATCCATCAAGTACATGCTGTGTGCCCAGTAGGCCCTGCTGAAGACACAGGTGATGAGACCACGGAGCATTAAGACCCCGGGCTTACAGTCTAGGGGAAGAAAACAGAGAATAAGAGAGCAAACAAATCAAGAAACAAGACAATCTCAGTAAGGAGAAAGCATGTGAAGAAAACAACAAAATAGGGTGATGGGCAATGGAAAAGGTGGAGGAGAGGGAGCATTCTTGAGCTGGGAGACAGAGTGAGGACAATCACCGGAAGTAAGGTAACAACGGGTAACAAGGAGCCAGATCCCATAGGCCCTTGTACGGCCTACACTGAAGGAATCTGGCCTTCCTCTGAGAGAAATGGGGAGCTGCTGGAGGTTTTGAGCAAATTACTGATTAGAAGATAGGCCTGTTAGAGAAACAGTCCGGGAAGCAGAAAGTCAAAGGGAATGAGCCGGAGGACAGAAGGCCATGGGGCAGAACAGGGAGAGGGAAGAGTTAGAGGCTTTTAAAGGACCTGAACGTTCACCCTAAATGAGACAGGAAGCCCAGGGAAGGTTCCGTGCAGGACTGACGTGCTCTGGCTTTCATTTCAATGGGATCACCTGGCTGCTGGCTCATGAACAGACTGAGGGGGCCCCAGGGGACGGCGGGGTGTCGGGAGGCCATGTGGCGACGCACATGGAAACAGTGGTGGCTCCAAGAAGACGTGCAGTAGACGCCATAGGAACTGGGCGGATCCTGGGTGTATTTGGGAAAACGTGTGGACAGAAGAAGCTGACATTCTGGACGTCAGGTGTAAGCAAAGGAGGAATAACAGATGATTCCAAGGGACCAAGTCACTGAAGGAAGGGGAGCCCCTAGACGGACTCATGGATGGTTCTCTTGGCGTCAGAAGCGTGAAGATGGAGAACAGGGGCACGCGCAGCCGGGTGGCACTCAGGTCCTAAGGTCAGAGGGAGAGCAGTCAGAACGGGGCATGGGGGTGGGAAAGGCAGAGCTGCTTAAACCCTGGTCAAGGCCTGAGGAGACCATGAAAACGCAGGGGAGGAGCAAGGGGGCGGCGTGCAGGCCGCCGCCCACGTCCCTACAGCACTTTTTCCTGGGTTCACGGGTCTTCATGCCCCGTTATGTCTCCCGACTGTCTCCTCAAAGACAGCCTGTGGTATCAACGCTCCCTTCATTCCATGTCTTCATGATCGGTGCTTCGTCTGGAAAACTTCCGAGGTACGAGTCCCCTCCCTGCACCCTCAGAAGATGCTGTTCCAGTGCCGTCCTGCATCCAGCATTGCTGATGAGAAGTCCGTTAAGTGTCATTCTTTTCTCCAAGTAGGGGACTCCTCTGGTAGGATATGGAATTTTCTACACACCCTTATCATCCTGACATACCACTACAATGTTTCTAGATGACCAATCTTATTCAATACAGGCCAGCATGGATTAACCTTGACTCTTCTGGGCTGACCCCACACTGAGCTCCAGAGTCGCCTGGAACATGCTCTTGGCACAGAGCCCCAACTACAGCCAAGGTAAGCGACGTCTGCACCCGTGGGCTGCTGGTTATGCAGGGGCGGGATGCATCAGCCTGCCAGCACCGTTCAGTGACCATGACTGGGCTACGACTGGCACTTGACTTTGGTGGTGCCTGAGGCTGATGGTGATGCAGACAGAGCACGCCCACACGCCCGTCTCACAGACTCCCCACAAGGGGGCTCTGGCCTCCTCACACTCAGGTGCTGCCACAGGGGCTGGGGACGGCCTGGTTGTGTCCCAGGCCCCGAGGCCTGCCCCCGAGGCCTGCAAGTGCCTCCAAAAAGGAGCCTCTACTGTTGCCGTTCTGTACTCTGCCTATAACTTGATGGGCTCCTACGGGTCCTGTCAACCACCAAACATGTAAACTAATTAAAGTGTAATTAGCACATACATGTAAAAGGAGTAAAATGTATTAACTGCAGCATGAGAAATAATGACTTATGATAAGAATCCAGGATTTTCCTGGTAAAAATAAACCTTTCAACTCCTCCAAAGGTGGTATTCTTCTGAGTCAAGCAGTCTGTCTGATAATCACTTCCTACAGAGCACAACCATCTAGCAGAAATACAATGGAAGCTCCCTAAGTTATTTTTCAATGTTTAAAAAAAGGTAAAAGAGATGGGTTGTTGCAATTTTACTATTTGTATTTTATTGAACCTACTGGGTCAAGAACATTATCCTTTCAACAGGCAGTCAGAACAGATTACTGATGATACTTTACATTCTTTTTTCACACTAAATCTTTGAAATCTTGCAGTTTCTACTTCCAGAACATCAGCTCAGACTAGCTACATTCAAGTGTTCAATTGCTGTAGATGTCTAGTGTATCAGGCAGTGCAGCAACAGAGGGTCTGAGGCTAATTATTCGGTTACTTCGGACCACAGTGGGCTGTGTCTTTTCCGAAAATGGATGGTCTGGCTTCCTCTTTGCTACCATTATTAAATGGTCTGTTTGCTTCTGCCAAGTGCCTACACTTCCACTCCTAACTCATCCCCCCACCCCATTTCTGTTGTAGGTCATCAGGCTTCAAATGCTGCCACGTTCCTTCCACTGCGCTCCTGCCTAGCAATATATGCCGGTCCCTTTGTAACGGTCCTCCGTCTGGTGCTTCTCGGGGAGAAAGATGCCATAGGCACGTTCCGCAGTACTATGTTCTTCACTTGTGCAAATCCACCAATCAACTAATAACTCTGCATTTTCAAACGTCACAGCCTTAAATAAAAGTGGGTTATGAATAACAGCCACCTTCCATCACAGGAAAAGCTGCAGTGAACCGATGCCAATTGAGATTTCTTCGCCTCAAGTTGAAAATCATCAACTAATGAGAGTTACTAAATTTCAAAACATTTATCACCTACTAAGAAATAAAACAACCTGGTTTTCAGCCACATGGATTTGCCGGCACTGATCTTCATAGAAGTTCAACAAATATGTTCTCATAACTCAGGTATGTGAATCTGGTTTAAATTTTTCTTCACAATATAAACGTTTTGATGTCTGGTAAATTTGTAACATTGGCTAACGGCTTGACATGTGCCCAGTGATCCCTGGTTCTCTCCTTGATCTTAATCCTCTTGTGTGCGGTACATTTGATACTAAAATACCTCTGTCACGGAGCCCTTCCAAGGTGCATTTTCAGATATAACCAATCTTGAACATTTGCTAAATGTCTGGTCAAATTCACATCTCTGAAAGGCTCCCCTCCTGTACAAATGCTGTGAAGTTTACTAACAAGGCTGATGGAATGCTTTAAGAAATGTCCTCGTTCACCATAACTGAAGTTCACAAAGACTAGAACACCTACGAAGAGCCTTCTCATAAAAGTGACGTGAGCATACATTGTACGCTTTCTCTCCAGTATGAATAGTGCTATTAAGGTAGAGCACTGGCTGCCAGACTTCCTGCCAAGTGACTGTGTTTACGAGCTTAAATGTTAAACAAAACTACAGGAGAACTAGAAAAAGCCATCAAGCTCCGTAAGAAGTTTGTAACAAGAGACTATTTTATTTCAATTATCGCACATGAATAGACGTTAATACATATTTAAATACTGAACGAATTCTTCTCCTCTGAATAATTAGTCCATTTGAATAGTCAGTATTGCAATGTTACAGAGGTAACAGAAAATTACATAGAATTCAAATGTAGTACTATACCCTTAAATCTAAATTCTACCAATTCCTTTAACTTGCTTAAAAATAGTTCATGCGTATGAGTTAAAGAGTAGAAAATTAACTGGCTTCGTTATTACAAAAAGATAGGGGAGAAAAAAGATCTATCTGTTCATCCTGGCCCTGGACACCGTCCCCCTTAACGACGGGCAGGGAGTAAGTTGAGGGGAAGGAAGGAGGAGAAGGGTTCTGTAACACTTGGCCCAAGCGAGCGCTTCCTGAAAATCGACGTCCTGGACTCAGTGTTCTGCGATCACAGTGCTACCCTCTCGGTCCTCCCTGTCGGCACCCTTTGCCTCCGAAGG